GGGGGGGGGGGGTTCACACTTACCATGACATAGTGGCGCTGCATTTCTGTCTTCTCATTGGCCAGTTTGTCGTACTCCACTTTCAGGCTGAGGCAGAAGGAGAGGGGAGGTTACGGTTATCTGCACTGACAGCTCCCAAAAACACTAAAAAACTACTAAAAAACGACTTAAATCCGGTGTGAGACCCCCGCAAACCAGACCGGCCTGTGAGAGGTTGTAAGTGAACAAAACAGAGGCGGCTTCCTCTTACTTTCACTGCCGGGAAGCGGGGGGGGGGGCGTTTACGGCCCTTACCTGTGATACTGGGCCTGGAGGAACTGAAACTCGTCTTTGATCCGGTCGCAGGACTCGGCCACCGTGAACTTGAATCCCGGCTGGCCCGGCTGGTGCGGAGCCTGAAAGGTGGAGGATGGATTTACCACAGGTGTAAATAACAACATCAGGCAACATCAGGCAACATCTGTACGGGGGAACTGCTCTGTCTGGTCATGGTTAGTCCTCCCATGGCCCCACAAAACAAAGCCGGGACACCTCGTTGTCCACAATTGTTGGATTTAAAAACAAAACTGAGACAAATCTCACTCAGAAGTCGTTTACATTTGATTATCTGCTCTTTCTCCCACTAAACACATTAACGAAGCCCATCTCTGGGGTTATCTCCCAACGGGATGAGCCCCTCGGACCATAAACAGGAAGGTGTGGATCAACAGCTCCATCCTGGGCTAATTAAGCTGTTTTTTGAAGGGTGGGTGCATTTGCATAAATTAACAAACAGTGTCAAAGACAGCCACTTACCGGATGCCGGCCTTGTGGATACATGTTGAGTCTTTTGCTCAAGGGAATGGATGTTTTTTTTTTTCTTTCCCCCGGCCCTTTTCTCTGTAATCTCAGCGAAGGTGCGGTAGATCGCCGCCACCCCCTCCCTGGATTCGCAGGATGGAGGCGGACAAAGCTTTTTTTTTTCTCCTCGGCTTTACTCTGGATGGTTTCCCCCCCCGCTCAGCTTTTTTTATTCCACCTAAACAAGCAGAAGAAAAGCTGGATCGCATCAACACATCAAGACGATTCAGGGTTTTTTATTCACCACACCGATCGGATCTGCAGCGTCTGTTACGTAAAATGAAATAAAAAATAAAGAAAAGTCGTCTTCCATCCGTTTTTTCTTTAAAAAAATGTAAAGTAGTTCTATCTGACGCTTTGATTTGCATTACAAGAGGAAAAAAATCCCGATTGTGCTTGATCCCATGTGTCAAATAAACACTAAAGTTTGTACAAAGCCTTGTTTTTCTCGTAAATCTACCGATCCGGCGTCCGTAAAGTGACCGGAACACACGCAGCCGTGTGCCGGTGGTCCGGGAGGATCGGAAACCCGCCGCCGGTGCTCTGAAACCGGGCTCCCGCGGAGCCACCCGCCTCGTTAGCGGCTCCGTTCACGTCGCCCTTTTTTACCTTTTGTCTCCACCGATTCCTCCCCTCCTCCGTACAGGTGAGAAACAGTATCCACACGCGGCGTAATATCCTCCACTTATAACCAACCGGCACGGACGGAAACCAGCGGAACACGTCGGTCGTCGTGTCTTTTTTTTTTCTTCTTTTCTTCTTCTCCCTTTGGCCCGTTGAGAGTCCTTTAAAGCCCGGTGACTCCGAGGAAAAAGGAGAGCCTCGCTCCGTCCGGTCGGACGCCCAAAAACCCTTCGACTACGGCGGGTTTTCGACCGCCAAACACTTCAAACACACGCCGAATTAGATCCAATAGCAGTCCGCAACTCTCCCGGCATTTCCGATGTTATATTTTTACGACAAAATCGGTTATTTTCCTTGAGAAGAAAAAAAAATGTCGACCGTTGAAAAACGCTCCGCCAGGCAACCGTTGGGTACCTAGTTCCTCAGCCGCGCGCGCTGTACCACACACAGACTGTGCACTGACACGAGGACCCGACTGTTGAGAGAGGGGCCCCGCTCTGACCAATCAGGTTGTCCCTAGGAGTTCGACGCGGAGGGCCAATCACGGCGCGGTGTCCCCACGTGGGCCTCCCCGGCGAAAAAGACGTTCTGATTGGGCTTCGGTGCGTGACCTCACGCGTTCGCCATTTTGGATGCGAAGTGACATTTCTGTGCGTTCAACAACTTGTTCAAAACAAAGGTAATAATTTATATTTCTGCGCGTCGCAGCCGGCTCTCAGAGTGTCACAATAACGGAGAGTACGCCATAGTCTTTTCGCACTTCAAGCCGCGGCCATTTAAACACACACCTTTGCTGTGCACGCGGAAATAACCGCACTTTTCAAGGGCAGCGTTTATCTTTAATAGTTAAAAACAACAGACTGTGTGGAAGAGTATGTGTAAACCTGAAATGGCCAAGAAAGAGTTTAAATCTGAAGGAAAGCACCACACTCTTTACATGCAAATCGAGACAGTGGTGTCAAGAGAGTGTATTTCATTAATATAAAAAGAAGCATCATCCCACTGAAAGTCATCCCAACCTGGCAACACGCAGAAAGGTGCTAACGGCGCTTTATCTACAGCAGAGCGTCTTTTGAGTGACTTGAATTGATCGACCTATTTCTAACGAGACCTCAAGCCTCTACAAGCTTTCCTATCAGAAGTACCAGGTAGTCTCGAACACGTCTGCGCCTCAGCCTATCACGTGTTGCGCACTATGCCCACCCCCACGTGGGTCCTCTCGCCGCTTTGCATCCAATAGGGTCGCGGCTGTCTTCTGGAGCCGCCTCTGATTGGCTGTGAGCTGGAAAAGCTGTCTGTCAGGAGTCCTTGTTGTCAATTAAACCCACGTTGGGTACGGCGCTGACAAATGCCTGTGCTACTCTCCCTCCTGCCTGCGAACAGTGCCTGGAATGGCTGCTTAATTAGCTTCGAATGGCTTTTCCTTTCAGCTCAAACAATCTGTCACTACCATGTGGTAAAAAGAGCCCTGCATAAAACAAAAGCAAGGGGGGGAAAAAGCCAGTAGGGGCTAAATATCAGTTTGATCCCCCCTCTCTTCAACCTTTCTATGAAAACATTTGCTGCAAAACAAGACTTATACCTCACTCAAACATCTCACTCCTCTGGTTGTGCCCTCAGTTTCCTCTAAAGCTGGATTCATTTGTTTTTCTGGGTGTCAATTTAGACTATTCTCATTTAGATCTCAATCTCTATGTTTATTTTGTTTTTGCAGGTTTGGTTACCTTTTATTTCATTTATGCTTTCACTGCAATTTGTTTTTCAATTAAGACAATCATTTTGATTTGTGTGTATTTTTTATTTTGTACGTTAGAATGAATGAACCCCGACACCTAGATAGTTTTAAACTATTCATAGCACTCAGAACAGACTCAGTGGCATACATCTGACAGAAATATGTACAGCAAATTAATCAAAAGTAACTGAATTGGATTTTTTTTTTTGTCAGAAGTGTAATTATTTTAAAAAAAAATAAGGGTCAACACAATGCAGACAGGCCCTGGGTTCATGTCTGACTAAATCAGACTCTGTAAGTTTCTTAAAATGATATTTTAAGCCCGAAAGTCAGAATCAAATCTGAGCTGCAGTTAGCATGCCATGCTTTAGCTGTTGCCTAGCAACAAATGCATCCCTCCTGCAGATGTGGCGACATCAGTCGGGATAATAACTCGTGCACCGGGGGCATGTCACAAAGCGCCGTGCTCACTGGGGGGGGGGGGCTTTACAGAGAGGTTTCACACAAAACTTCTAATGATGAATTGTTTCAGTACTTGTGATCACGAGAGGAAACCAGGTGTAAAGAGAATCCCCGCTAACGAATGGGGAACTTTGTCGGTTTCTCAGTTTGCTGGTGAGAATTCCTGGTTTTATTTTGTGTCACCGACACAGCCGAAACCCCGGAACAGACGACGGGTGGTAAAAGATAATGGCCCCGTGTTGTGGTATAAAACATGTTTTGTTGCATATTCAGACATCTGCACATTTCAGACGTAAAAAGCAGCAGATCAGACCTGTCACTGGTTTACCTCCACGCTCCAGATGGTTAATTTAGCAGAATCACCTGGGAAGCGCTCCATGGATGGGAAACTTTAAATAAAAACTTCACCGGTGATGGAGGGAAGCATCTGCTGGCCCCAGAGTGGCCCATCTAAGGGTCAATATGGATCCTTAAGGCCTCTGCATATCTGAAGGATCCAGTATATTCCCAACTATTATGCCACTCCTGGTATACTATTTAATAAAGAACTTTGATTGATTGATTGATTTGGTGATTATGTTATGAATGGCTCTTTTCTACTAGTACCTACTTTGTGTGACTTGAATAGTTATTTTTGGTTTTCCATTGGGGGCTGGGGCCTCTTAACAGTTTCAATTTTTGCACCTATTCGGCCAAATCTATCAAATTAACTGTTAGAATCAAAATGGTGATATGAACGTGACTCTTTCTCAAGAACTCCGCCATTTTCGAAAATCTAGTAAGAACATCCATTTATCTGTCTTCTATACTGCTTTGTCCTCGTAGTAGCTGATGTTTATCTTCGCTATCGTGTGCGAGAGGTCGGGTCAAACCACCTAAACGGAGTCAAGTCTAATAGTTGAACAAGGCCCTGAGCAAATTTCGGGACAGCCAATAGGCACCTTTTTTATGAAGCGTTAACCCTGCCCCCATCTTTTGAGGAAACAGTGCTAAAAGCGACACTCTACTATGAAGCTCAACACTTCTGGATCTGAAAATGAGGCACTACTAAGTGTTAACTCATTAAGTATGCGTGCATATGTTCATCATTAGTTTAGTGCGTCGATTGTGAGTCTGCAGAAGTCTACTGTAACTGTTTAAAGGCGTCCAATAGGAGGCGTACTAATTTGCTTTGATGCTTTTTATCGTCAATAATTTATCAACTAATCTGAGCTGTGTTATGGTGACATAGTCCAATCTTTAATATCCTACTTATACTTCAGTAAAACACCAAGTCCATAACTGAGTTATTCTGAGAGGTGACATTATCTGAGCAAAACCACCTTCTATCCTTTATAGATTAATGTGACCTCTGGCTTAATAAATATCCAAGTAGGATTTTGTGTAATGAAGAGATTAAATACTCTGTAAAACTTATCTGAACAGAGAAGTCTCATAATGCTATGAACCAAATAAATATTGTTCTAACTTACCAAGGTACCATTTCAAAGTATTTGATAGTAAAACTGTTTGAGGAAATGGGTCCCGCGTTTAGAAATAATCTACTTCTGTGAATAGTTCTGTTTGCTCTTTACTGTATGTGTCAGAACTATTTTACAAACAACTTAATTTCAGATAAAACTGTTTAACAAAAGATTACATCTTGGTAAAACAGAATTTAATGATAAACACTTTGATAAATGCTTGTATTGTTGCAGGCTGGAATGGATGAGCATTTTGAAACTAACTATGTAAATTGGTGAGTGGACAGTGTTATCTGATTAGACATTAAAAGCACCTCAGAGAGGCAGAGTCTCTCAGAAGATCAGATGGACAGAACAATGTTTGTCAGAATTTATTACAACTTAAGAACATAGTACTATGAAAACACTCATCACAGTGAACAACAGGAAAAATTACAAAAAAATCTGTGCGAACCGAAGGCCCTCAGGCAGCACGGCAGTCAAAGTGATTCCGTCAAAATAAAAGGGCAAAGGAAGACTTCCAGAAATCACCATTTCTGGACACAGGTCATCGTTTAAAGCACAAATATGAAGCCAGTGGTGGACCTGATTTAGAGGAGCTAAAGTCTTCTCCGAGCTAATGCTAACCTAAACAGGACTGAGACAAAGCGGGAAAAGTCCACAAAAGTTTTATACAAAAGTTTTGTATAGATAGA